GTATATTTGTTTTAAAGCTCCTCTATCTGCTCCCCAGTCACTGCCAGCCAAACATCTCATAATGTTTAATATTTTCTTACATTTATCGACAATATTCTGTATATGTATTTTCCATATTATTTTTTCATCAAACCATACTCCTAAAAACTTTACACTTTTTACTTGTTCTAATTCTTGATTATATAATTTTAATTTTATTTCCTCTCTTATTCTTTTCTGTGTAAACACCATAACTTTTGTTTTTTCTATTGAGAACTTAAATCCCCATTGAAATGCCCATTTTTCTATTCTAATTATCATATCTTGTATTTTTTTATAACAAATTCTGTATTTCTACCTCTTTTCCATATGGCTCCATCATCCGCAAATAATGAACATCCCATTTCTTTCTCAATGTCTGTAAATATATCATTTATCATTATGGAAAACAATAACGGACTTAATATGCTTCCTTGTGGCGTCCCATTTTCTACTGTAAATTTTCTTGATAGTTCTTGCCCAATTCTCACTTATATTGTTCTGTCTGATAAAAAGTTTTGAACCCAGTTAAACATCTTTCCATTAATCCCCATTTGACATAATTTAATTAATAATCCTTCTACCCACATCATATCATATGCTTTCTCTAGATCAAAAAATACAGCGACTACACTTTCTTTGTTGATTTGTGCTTTTCTGATTTCATGCTCTAAGCAAATTGATGGGTCATTAGTATTCCTCCCTTTTCTAAACCCACTCTGATATTTAGATATATACCCTTTGACATTTAAATAATGTTAATCTATCATCAATCATTTTTTCCATTATTTTACACATATTTGACGTTAAAGCAATGGGTCTATAATTTTCTGGGTTTGTATTGTCTTTTCCTGGTTTGGCTATTGGTACTATGATCGCCTCCTTCCAGCTCTCTGGCAGCTCCCCTTCCTCCCAGATTTTATTGTAAAATTCTAAAATTGTATCTTTTGATGTTTCACTTAGATGTTCTATCATTGTGTACCAAATGTTGTCTTTACCAGGTGATGTATTCTTTGTTTTCCTTAGTGCATAGTTCAGTTCTGTTTTAGTAAACGGTTCATTCAATAAATTATTTGTTTCTTCAGTATTTTGTAGTAAATCTTTGTATTTTAGTTTTGTGGCTTCCTGACCTTTCCTTCCTTCTTCACTCATGTTACTCGAACTATGAATTTTACTAAATGTTTCTGCTAATATTTCAGTTTTCTCATCATCTTTTGTAATAGTTTTCTTACTTATTTTTAATACTGGATATTCATATTCTTTTTTAATACCATTCATTCTTTTAATTATTTTCCAAATTTTTTTCAATTTTTGTTTTTTTTCCTACTGTGTTACAGAATTTTCTCTAATATTCTCTCTTTGTGTTCTTAATTATTCTCCTTACCATAGCTTGCTTTCTTTTATAATCAATTGGATTCTGATAAATTGGATTCCTTTAAAGTACTTTAAATGCTTTATTTCTTAACTTTATTGTTTCACTACATTCACTTGTCCACCATGGTACAATTTTCTTGTCCTTCTGTCTTCCTCCTTTCTTTATTGAATTTACTGCAGCTTCTATTATTACCTTATTTATACATATATTTATATTATTTATATCCATTGTCATGTTGACTTTTTCTAGACTAATTTGACTCAAATAGCTAAATTTAACCCAGTCTGCCTTATTAAAATTCCATTTCTTGTTTATTTTTATATTCTTGTTATTTATTGTTAGTCCTGCTCTGATTGTAATGTGATAATGATCACTGCCTATAGTTGTATTTTTATCAATGTCCCACTCACAGACACCAGCCAGTGAGTTTGATACAATTGTTAAATCTACAACAGACTCTGCCCCTGTTCTTACATTTAGTCTTGTTCCTCTTCCATCATTAATATATACTAAATTTTTGTTTTCCATTATTTCTTCGATAATCTGTCCATTTTTATCATTACATTTACCCCATACTGTGCTATTGGCATTAAAGTCCCCACACCATATCACTCTCCCTTCCAGATGTTCCATCAGCTCCAGTGACAATGTTTTACATGGATTATAAAAATTTATTATTTTACAATTTCCTTCTTTTCCTCAAATTTCTATTACTATATATTCCAATTCTTTACCTTTCCCTATTATTTGATATTGCCTGCCTTGTTTTATAAATATTATACACGCTCCTCCACTTCCTTCTTGTCGATCCCTTCTTATACTATCATATCCTTTAATAATAAAATCTATTGTTGGTTTTAACCACGTCTCCTGTACACAAATAACGTCTGGTTTCTCTTGAAGTTCGTTAATATAACCTTTAAGTTCCTGTCCATTAGCAATTAAACTTCTAGCATTCCATTGTAATATAATCATATATTGTCACCTGGTGTTCCTGGTCTTCCATCAGCTTCCAACCTTTTGTTAATGTTTTCCCAACATCCCTCTTTGAACCCCAAAAATTTTTCAGCTCCTCTCACAATTATTTTAATTTTCTCTGTTTTATGTTTGGCCTGGTCAGTGCAGTTTATGACATATGCTATGAATAATATCAGGTTTTCAACTGGTATTGTGATATTTTCCTCTGTTTGCTGTTTACTGGTACTTTGTTGTGGGTTTTGGTTCTGTTTGTCCTGTCGCTCTTGTCTTTTGTTCTTTGACACTTTTGGCTGCCTCTGCATATGTGGTGTTTTTACTTATTTTCACCTGTTGGATTTCTTTAGCTGTTTTCCTCACTTCACACCCTCCATATGTAACTCTATGTTGTCCTCCACAGTTGCAACACTTCTCCTTTTCTTCTTTACATTCTTCTATTCTGTGATCTTCTCCACACTTTGGACACCTCTGTTTACCTTTGCATGCTGCTGCTATGTGTCCAGATGCTGTCAGAGTGTCTCTGGCACTTGTAGCAGCGAAGTGGTGGTGGGATGTAAGGCCTAACTTGAAAATTCAAATATCCTATTTTTATGTTTGCTGGTAAGGTTGTCTCATCAAACTCAATCATAATTGATAAACTTCCTACTCTTTCCCCATTAACAGTTCTTGACAGTCTCTTCAAGTTGTTTACTTGTGCACCAACAATGTTCCTTTTTATTTGATCTAAATCTTCATCCACTGGGATCCCGTAAATAACTCCGCGAACCGTTTTGTTTTCTCCTATTATCTTTCTTTCCAGGACCATTCTTTTACAGATGTTCTCGACGTGCAAAGCCGTATTTTTTTGTTCTTCAGTTTTACATGACACTAATAAATTTCCATCTCTTAACACCTTCACCATTTCTACATCCCCAATCTTCCTTTTTATTTCTTTTGATATCAAAATGGGGCTTATGTTACCCTGCCCTTCCTCATTTTTTAGTTTTAATGTTATTTTAAATTCATCCCTCACTACTTTTCTTCTTACCACCCTTTCTTCATCCGAGCTGCTCCCTTCCAACTCCCTTTTATTACTCTGGCTGTCATTTGTTCCTTCCTCTATTTTATTTCTTCCGCATCCTCTCCCTCTACCTACTGGTGTCCACCCCTCAAAGTCCATGTCTGCCTCGTCTCCTACCTGTTTTTCCATCCAAACCATTCACATACCAGTTTATGCCAATTTCCACCTGTTCCAAAGTCCAAAAAAATTGTCAAATATCAATAATCCGTCAAAAAATGTTTTAAATTTTGCGCCCAACCATGGAGCTGAACTCTGAAACACTTTCCGAAGAGCAGACTTTGATAGATCCATGTTCTTTAAATCAAACAGGGCGACCACTCACACCTGATCATCATCCATTGATTGAAAACATCTGACTCTAATTTCACCTTCAAATTAACTGCTTCTCCTAGAGATTCACATACTTTTACCACTCACAGATATGTAATACTGGATCATTTTCCTCAGTAAATAAATTACCAAGTATAATATTTAGTCTCTTTTGTTTAACTGGGTTCTCTTTATCTACTTTTAAGGCTTGTGTGAAAATCTGATGAAGTTTTAGGTCATATCCATCAATCCATCCATTATCTTTTACCCGCTTCTTCCATTTTGGGTCACAGGAGTTGCCGGTGCCCATGTCCGGCAATCACTGTGCGAGGGGGCGGGGTACACCCTGTACAGGTCTCCAGTCCATCACAAGGCCACATAGAGACAAACGAGACAAACAACCATTCACTCTCTCACTCACACCTAGGGACAATTTAGAGTTACCAATCAGCCTAACATGCATGTTTTTGGTCTGTGGGAGGAAACCGGAGTAATGGTAAATGGACTGTACTTATATAGCGCCTTTCTATCTTATTTCAAGATACTCAAAGCGCTTTACATACAATCTGTGTCCTCATTTACCTCTTCATACAGCTCTATACTAGATCTCTATTAAGCTAATTGAACAAATCATTCTAAAGAGACTAATCAGAGCTTTATAACATTCATACACTGATGGGACACACATCAGAGGCAGTGAGGGGTTCAGTGTCTTGCCCAGGGACACTTCGGAATGTGACTGCTGGTGGATTCGAACCCCCAACTCTTGCATTGGAGGACAACTGCTCTAACCACTCAGCCCCAGCTGCCCCGGAGTACCTGGAGAAAACCCACGCATGTACGATGAGAACATGCGAACTCCACCCAGAAAGGCCCCCAGACTGGGATTTGAACTGGGGACCTGCGCGCTGAGAGGCAGGAGCTCTACCAGTTGTGCCACCGTGCTGGTTTTAGGTCATATTGATGCAGAAATATAGAAAATTATAAAGGGTTCACAAACTTTCAAGCATCACTGTATCTCAATTTTCTTAGACACACATTTTAATATTAAACGGATCAATCAATCTTCTCATTTTTAACTGAACCATGTGTGTTTTATTAACTTTTTCAAACTGAATAACTTTTCAATATAATTAAAAACTGTCACTTATTAATCTAATAAATAACTGACTGGCCAGCGAGGCTTTGTCTGGTTGGTTTGTCTGTATTAAATGATTTTAAGAAGAACCTGAACCTTCTGGTTTTGTCTTCAGGTGGTTTTACCTGCAGGTGGCTGACGATGCAGAACGGTTCTGGACGGTTCAGTCCACAGGTGGAGGTGGATTTTAGCTGCTGAGCCCGTCCAATCAAAAGGTCTCCTGTTGCTGGGTAACAGCTACCCTCTGTGCACATGTCAGTAAGCTCTGGGAAGATGACATCATCCAGGGCTCCACCCCCTGAGGCTCCATCCTCCTGAGCCCAAGTGCACATCTGTAGAGCTGAGAATAAAGACTTTTATTGTAAAAAAACAAAAAAACATTTGAAACGGGCTTTCATTGTGACCTTAGAAGATCTTGATGGACTCTTGGTCCTCATGGTCAACTGTCCTACAGGTATTAGGTGTTTCCCTGCTCTAACACGCCTTAATGTTATTTATCTTCTCTGCAAGACACTTGTAGACTCAAAAGATCTGCTGACAATATAACTCAGACACCTGAATCAGTGGTATCGGAGCAGAGACATGGAGGACAGAGATTGAGGACCAAACACCTAGAATCTGCAGGAAGGCGGGCCCTGAGGACCAGGACTGGTTTAATTACAGTTGGATAACAAGGTTCAGTTTTCATATAAACCATCTCCTGAAACTGTTGTAAATTTTCTGATGTTAACTGTAAAAACATTCCACGTTCTAAAGATAATGAATGCAGTGATTGCAATTGCTGTTTACATGAGACAACACAAAATGCTGAACTTGATGTAGTTTCCATAAAAGCTGTGAATTTTTAATTTAAACAACACTCACAGACACTTCAGTCTCAAGCACGAGACCGAAGTGACAACAATGCGTTGCATTTTTAGACTGTGAGAAATGCATCTCAGCACGTTTTATATCAGAAGCTCTGATCAAAGTAAAAATAATATTTTTATTCTTCTTCTTCTTTTGGCTTTTCCCTCTTCAGGGGTCTCCACAGAGAGCCATCCTCCTCCATCTCACTCTGTCCTCTGTGTCCTCTGTCCTCACTCCAACTACCTCCATGTCTTCTCTAACTGCATCCATATATATCTTCTTTGGCCATCTCTTTGTCTTTTTCCAGGCAGCTGCATTTCTAACATCATTCTACCAATATACCCACTGTCCCACCTCTGGACATGTCCAAACCATCTCAGTCTGGCCTACCATTTATATATTTGGTTGATAAAGCACTTGCACTTCAATCTCTCTGATACGGTTTGGATAATTTCATTCAGTTTTTTTTTGTTTGTTTGTTTTTTGAGCAATTAAAGACAATCCTTCATAAAACGTATAGGGGTTCTGCTTAGTTCTAAACATTTAGGACAGATGTCTGGAATGTCAAGGGTAGAGCTGTCATTTCTAACCTGAACCCGGAGCCCGGCCCCGCCCAACCCGGATTCAGACTGGGCCAGTCCATAATAATGTGTGGGCCAAATCGGTGTCAGGCTTTTGATTGCGTCAGCGGACGTGCATGACTGACGATCCAATTATATTGCAACATGGCTTGCCATACAATCACCAGCTGCACGCAGCCATTTAACCGTGTGCTGAATGGCCTTGAAAGAGATAAAAAGTTCAGTTACGCTTCAGAAGGACTACTGCCAGAGATCCATCAGGCCAAATGGACGTTCATTCAGCCGCTGCACTCAGCGGATGCGCGTGGTCAATGACCCAAACAGGTGAGATCTCAAAATATCCAAAGTCAGAGCAGGGTCTGTGTCTCAATACAGGCAGAAGCAGCTCTGATCTTCTTCCCCTTTGCTCAGCCGCTTGCCTCCACCAACGGTTAATAACTACTGTATAAAAAGCCAAAGTTTAATTAAAAATGTCAGAGGGTTTTCGGATTCGGACCTGTAATTACTGTTAATTCGTTGGGTCGGGTGGGGTTTGGGGATGATAGCTACAGGCTGGGGCCGGGTCAGGTCGGATTTGTTGGGCCCGCATGCAACTGTAGCCAGGGGACCAGCGACAGTTAGGCACTAAATTTAACAAACCTTTGTCTAAAACCATTTAAAAGTTTTAAAACAGTGGTCGCTGAGAACTGAGGCTGACGACCAACATCTAAAACCAGCAGGGATAGTGACCAAAACATCATAATCCAACAAGTTTTAAAAAAACAAAGCAACCAAAACAACTAAAAACTTGAAAATAAATAAATTATACATACACTGATATTTGAGAGATAGAGAAAGAAACACAGGACCAATTTGAATGACACACTGTATATTTGATTAACATCTACAACTGATTACGGTAAGTTTAGAAGCGATCCCTATTCAAGATGGCTGCCACAGTTAATCAAAAATAGCCCATTTAGAAATTGCTATAAGCCTTTTTTGTATCATGGAAATTTTAAGAAAATTAAATGTTTTCTCTATGTATCAAAGTTCAGCCTGGCCAGCATGTTTTATATTCCCCGAGAAACCTGAACACAGAACTAATGAGAAGTCCTCGTTGCTGAAATATCGTCATTTCTACTCTACCAAAATGACCACGTCCACGCCTACTTTAAATTTCTGACCAATCACACAATAGTTGTGGAACACTGCTCAAGAAAACAGTTCTGTGTCCAGATCAGTGTTGCCAGACTGGGAGGTTTCCTGCCAACTGGGAAGTTTTCATTCTGATTTTGCATGTAAAAATTGCTTTGGGCGGGTGGGGATAATTTGGGTGGATTTGGAGTCAGATTGGTGGTTTTTGAGTTAACCTATTAAACACATTTCAAACAATCATTCATCATTATTAAGTTCCTCTGACCTTTCTCCATCATTGATTGACTATTGTCATCTGTCAGGGCATTCACAACAGAGAACTGGTGAGGCGATGCAATAAATGATGCTACTTTTAGTAGACACTTCGTTGAGCGGGTCATTGAAGCGTCCGCAATATTGAATGCGGCAAATCTGATGGTCAACTGATACAAGGAAATGGACAGAACTTCATAAAACACTGTTAATCGCTGTCATTCACACACACTAATATATCTGGAAAACAAACAGACACCAAAGACAACATTGTAACTTTTAATATGATTACTAAAAATGTTTACTCCTTATTTATTTAGGTTATAGGTAAACACTAAACCAACATATGGATTATTTTCAGTGTTTACAAGTTACAACACTATTACTGTGGTGATAAATATAGAAATATTAATATTTAGCTTCATATTTAACATTTAATCTGTGTCTATAACAACCAGATCCTAAAATGTGACATGTTGATTTTCTGAATAAAGAGCACTAACATTCACATTTAACTGATTTTAGTTAATCACATCCATGAACATGGCAGCACGGTGGTGCAACTGGTAGAGCTGCTGCCTCTCAGCGAGCAGGTCCCTTGTTCAAACCCCGGTCCAGGGGCCTTTCTGGGTGGAGTTTGCATGTTCTCTCCGTGCATGCGTGGGTTTTCTCCGGGTACTCCGGTTTCCTCTCACAGTCCAAAAACATGCATGTTAGGCTGATTGGTAACTCTAAATTGTCCCTAGGTGTGAGTGAGAGAGTGAATGTTTGTTTGTCTCTATGTGGCCCTGTGATGGACTTGCGACCCGTCCAGGGTGTACCCCGCCCCTCGCACAGTGATTGCTGGACAAGGGCACCAGCGACCCCCGTGACCCAAAATGGAATAAGCGGGTAAAGATAATGGATGGATGGATATATATATATATATATATACACACACAATATATATTGTATATATATTATGCAGGGCCCTGGGGGTGGATGAGATTCGCCCGGAGTTCCTTAAGGCTCTGGATGTTGTAGGGTTGTGTTGGCTTACGCGACTGCAATATTGCGTGGACATCGGGGGAAGTTCCCCTGGATTGGCAGACCGGTGTGGTGGTCCCCCTATTCAAAAAGGTGGACCGTAGAGTGTGTTCCAACTACAGGGGAATCACGCTCTTAAGCCTCCCTGGTAAGGTCTATTCGGGGGTTCTGGAGAGGAGGGTCCATCGGATAGTCGAACCTCGGATTCAGGAGGAACAGTGCGGTTTTCGTCCTGGCAGTGGAACACTGGACCAGCTCTACACTCAGGGAACCCTGTGGGGGATACTCTGGGAGTATGGGGTACCGGGCCCTTTGATACGGGCTGTTAGGTCCCTGTATGACTTGTGTCAGAGCCTGGTCCGCATCGCCGGCAGTAAGTCGGGCTTGTTCCCAGTGAGAGTTGGACTCCGCCAAGGTTGCCCTTTGTCACAAATTCTGTTCATAACTTTTATGGACAGAATTTCTAGGTGCAGCCAAGGTGTTGAGGGGATCCGTTTTGGTGGCCTTAGGATTGCGTCTCTGCTTTTTGCAGATGATGTGGTCTTATTGGCTTCATCAGATCGTGATCTACAGCTTTCGCTGGAGCGGTTCGCAGCCGAATGCGACGCGGTCGGGATGAAGATCAGTTCCTCCAAATCGGAGGCCATGGTCTTGAGCCGGAAAAGGGTAGACTGCCCTCTCTGGGTCAGGGAGGAGGTCCTACCCCAAGTGGAGGTGTTCAAGTATCTTGGGGTCTTGTTCACAAATGAGGGAAAAATGGAGCGTGAGATCGATAGGCGGATAGGTGCAGTGTCTGCAGTGAAGCAGGCGCTGTACCAGTCTGTTGTGGTGAAGAGAGAGCTGAGTCAAAAGGCGAAGCTCTCAATTTACCAAACGATCTATGTTCCTACCCTCATCTATGGTCACGAGCTTTGGGTTGTGACCGAAAGAATGAGATCTCGGATACAAGCGGCTGAAATTAGTTTTCTCCGCAGGGTGTCTGGGCTCTCCCTTAGAGATAGGGTGAGAAGCTCAATCATCCGGGAGGGACTCAGAGTAGAGCCGCTGCTTCTCCACGTCGAGAGGAGCCAGTTGAGGTGGCTTGGGCATCTGTTTAGGATGCCTCCTGGACGCCTCCCTGGTGAGGTGTTCCGGACACGTCCCACCGGAACGAGGCCCAGAGGAAGACCCAGGACACGCTGGAGGGACTATGTTTCTCGGCTGGCCTGGGAATGCCTCGGGATTCCCCCGGAAGAGCTGGCCCAAGTGGCTGGGGAGAGGGAAGTCTGGGCCTCCCTACTTAGGCTGCTACCCCCGCGACCCAACCCCGGATGAGCGGAAGAAAATGGATGGATGGATGAAAGGATTATGCAATTACCTTGGCTTGTACCGATGTTTGTTCATGTGGTGGTTTTTAACAGATTATTGGGCTGGAAAACCTTGACTCTATCTGGCAACACTGACGGGAGTGTCCAGAACAAGCTGCAAGAACTCCCAAACTGGGGCATGATGTCATTATGTCTTACCATGTCATTCTATTTATTTATTTATTTATATATTCATTCATTTAAAAGAAAAAAAAGAAACAAAATAAATTCATCAAAACAAACAAACAACAAAACACTAAATGAAAAGGGTGCAGAAAGAAGAAAAAAATTCTTATAATAATATCTGCCCCTTATTAAAAAAAAAACAAAAAAAAAACTACAAAACAATAACTCAGACTTGAAAAATCCCCAAAGTGAAAACAAAAAACATCAGGCATTCTTCACATGGTATCATACTTTCCTAACAACTTTAACTTATTCATCTTTTTAAACATATAAATTGTTTTAGAATTTTTATGGTGATATCAAGACAATTCCATAATCCCGTTCCCTGAATTATAACACAGCTCCTTTAGACTAGTTCTAAATGGAGGTTTTACAAACATTTCTATTCCCTAAAGATTATAATGGCTCTTTTTTAAACAAATTTTAATTGAATATTTGGGATAATATATTTTTATGAGCTTTATATATAAATGGACTGTACTTGGACTGTACATAGCGCCTTTCTATCTTATTTCAAGATACTCAAAGTGCTTTACACTACAATCTGTGTCTTCATTTACCCATTCATACAGCACTCTGTAAGGAACTCTCGTGAGGGTTTGGACCAAGATCACAACACAAC